CGGTAATGAGGTGGGCGCGGGTGGCTTCGTATTTTTGGCGCTTTTCTTCTAATTTCTTCTCAAGTTTTTCGACCTTTACGCTATCCGAATACAAATTTGGTTTAAAAAAATATTTAGCCATTTTGGAGAAAATTTAGAAAATGTGTTTGTGGCTTCATGTAAAGTGCCCTCAAAAATCAAAATATCCGTTTGAAACTCCCAAAGCCTCGACTTCATTGACATCCATTGGGGGACACCAGTTTTGAAGAAAATTGGCTGAACGGTTTAGGCGCTAGCGTTGGCCACAGACAGAGACGTTTTGCCGTCAATTATTTTTTCGGTACCAAGGACCCACAAAACATGGATTCTGGCTACACCAGGTGTTAGAGGAGTTGTTGCTTTTTCTAAATTCAGCAACTTGATGTATCCACTTTTACGTAATCAAGGCCCGGCAACGGCTTTTTCGTATTTAGCCAATTTTCGGCGCAAGATTCCATAACTTTCTCTTCTTAGGGAATACCTTCGTACGGGCGAGAACTGTGAAAGCTATGCTTTAATACCCTGAAAGTTAAAATACTAAAAAAATTGAATTTACATATATTTTTGAAAAATTCCACGATATCGTTCTTTGCTCGCCAGCTGTCCGAGCGCAAATGCTCTTGTTGAATCAAGATGGGCTATTGTAAATACTGTCAATAAATATTTTTTTCGAATAAAAAAAGCTTTTTTATTAAAGAAAATTTGCTGCCATGGGCCAGTGCCATAATAACCATTCTTAAATCCACCACTGGGCTGAATGCTGTATAGGTCGGACACGTCAAACCTCTCAGGCTATCTGGGACGAGCTGCGTCACTGACACCGTCCCGGAAAGCGTAGACAACACAAACTCCGGCCGCGCAACCACGCCTGCGCAACCACGTCAAACCTCGCCTGTACGAGCTTCGCGTGGGGAAACCGGCGCTGTTACGGGCACGGGCAACTTCCCCTGACTCCGAGCACTTCCCCTCAAAATCCAGAAAGGAGTGTACACGCGAAAGCTGACGCAGCGCAAGGCGGTTAATAGTGGCTTCATAGGAAAATATGTTTGTCAATATTTTATATCAAATAACCCAGAATTGTATTATGTTTATATATTTAGTTACTTATTATTATTATTTGATGTTTATTTTCTTACAGAATTCTCCTTGATATAATCATCTTTGATAAGTGACAGGAATATGTTTGAATGGTGAATTCTTTCCTTTTTCTTGTTTTGTGTTGTGTTATTAAATCATTCAGTTATTCATTGTATTTAGCAGTAATGTTAAATAAATTAATGAGTCTCTATAAATTAACAATTCTCGCGTACGGACGGACAGCGCTTTTAACAGACAAGAATATTTGTCTCTTAAACCTTCTAACCTGAACGTAGAAATTTCATACTCAAGACTTACCACTCTTAAGTCAACAAGATTACAAAATCAAGATACTTTTGATTCATTTTTTAACATCTTACTCTCAATTGAGAATTGGAAATTGAACCGATGTTTTATATCATTTTAATGGATAATTTATTTGCCTTAAAGAGAAAGTAGGAATTAATATAGCTAAATTTGTGACAATAACTGTGAAATAACGCCTTTCAAAGACTGGCATGGGACAGCTATCCAGTGACTACCGCCACTCCGTTGTGTACAATCCTTACTTTTAAATCTCGTGCAAATTTCTGAGGACAGTGCCTGCGAGCTCTATACTTGAACGTTTGTAAACCAACACTTGTCTTTATCCAGTTGTTACAGTGTCATCCAATCGGAAGCTTGAACGTCATCACGGTGACGTCATGTTTAAGCACCTGATTGGATAAAACTGTCAATAGTTGATTTACGTCAAGTGCTATGTAAAAAAAAAAACGTGTAAAGTAAGATTCTTACCTTGCACGCGACCTTGACAAATGACATACCTGGTTTAGGCTCTATAGCGTCCCAGCGTTGCGGCGCTACAGCGTTGACCACAGACGGGGGAGAGAGACGTTTAGACGTCAATCGATTTTTCGGTATCAAGGACTCACTAAATATGGGTTCAGACCACACCACGTGAAAGAGGAAGTAATTTATTATACATAGGAACAGGAATTATCCATTTTTTCCTTACCAGGTCCCGACACAAGAGTTTTTCTGGCCAAAATTTGCCCCTTTACTATTACAATACTTTCTTTTCTTATATTCGAAAGGGCGAGAAAGTACAACTAATGTTTGGCCTTTTATTTTAAAATAATATGTTATTTGTTATTTATATACTACAAAGCAGGAGCGGAACCAGAGACAAATTTTGGGAGGGTAAATTCAGATTGTTTTGATTAAATGTCATATTAAAGATTTTGTAAAATGTCTGGGGCTACACTGAGCTCATGTTGAGAATTTATTCTTTTTAATGATTATCCGAAAATATTTTTGCTTCAAAGTTTTGTGACAAGTTATAATAATTAATAGTAACTGAAAAATTGTATGTGAAGAAATTTCCCTCCCTGTGTATCTGCACCTGGCAAAGGGTATATAATTACTACGGCTTCTTACCATAGTCCTCAGTAAAATGAGCATTAGTGTCTTAGTAAATTATTGTTGAATGCCAAAATTATTTCATTAATTTTTTTTTTTTTTTTTTTTGCTTCTGAATTAATTATCTCTTTTGTATCCAATTCTTTACCCCTATAATGGGTAAGAGTAAAGTTAAGATTTTTTTTACTCTTTAAAAACTGTTTTATTGGCATATTGCTCAGAGAGTAAATACTAATGTGTTATTTTTTATTAAACAAACCTCAGCATGAATTCTGCTGAAGTAAATAATGAGTGTCACATAATTTTTTAACTAACTTTGAAAGGAGGAACAAATAGGAGGTATATTTTCCTCCTGGTTAAAGATAAATGATTCATGGAAAATTCATATTTATATAGTAAGTAATGGACTGCAAGAGTGCAAAATGTATACTGAATGAGTGGGTCACTGTGTAAATACCTAGTTATTAAGTCTAATTTTTCTGTTCCACAAATATCTTCTTACCATACCTTTCATTTTCAAACATTTTCATAGGCATTGCCTTACATCATGCACAGTACTCATTTCAAAGACCAAATCAAACCATTTATCAGCAATATCACATCTTCTTTCTTCTAACACTACTTCGCAATTTTAGAAGGTTAAATTTGTGAATTCCATTAGAAATGCTTACTCATTTCCTTTGTTTTCGAATACTAAAATTCTTATTCCATAAGTTTGATTGATTCATAATTTTGTATAAGCAGAATAAAATCATTATTTTGCAGTTATTTGACTGTGACTTCATTTGTAACTTGTAGTTGCTATATTACTTATACTGGCTACTTTTAGTCTTATTACATTTATTTTGAAGTGAAATATGTGTGTTATATAAAAAAAAATAATGTGTTACCTGTAAATATTATACGTAAATCAAAAATGCAATAATATTATTTGTTTCAATAACAAAATTTTCTATCAATGCAGTTTATTGATTCGAGTAACTACCACTTTCAGATTATTTCAGTTACATTTGTAATTTCTGTGTTACTCATAGACTGAATGACCTTATGATTTCTGTCTCATTAAAATTTATGTATAATCTTATTCTCAGATTAAAGGATAAATAAAACCAAAATTTCAATGACTACTTTTTGTTGTAGAATGTGCCATATGCAGATGCCATGAACAAGACACTGGTGTTTGCCATATTTGACTTCGACCGATTCTCAAAGCATGACCAAATTGGTGAGGTGAAGGTGCCCTTGTGCCAAGTGGATCTCGCCCAGACTATAGAGGAATGGCGTGAGCTCCAGAGTGTAGAAGGGGAGGGAGGACAGGTATGTGTTGAGCCTGAAAAACGCACATACAACATCTACACTATCACATTTCCATTAGCACAAAACATTCACTACACATACACTGAATTTCTCATAAGCAAACTATCCCTTCACTGGAACATAAAACAAAAGGATAGAAATGGGTTGCAAATGATAGCTGAAAAAAATATTGAACTGCTTCTCATCTATTGTTTGTATATTATATAACAATATGTCCAATGTGATGTCAGATAAAAGGATAAAGCTTTGAGAAAATTAATATTTTTGCTTCAACTTCACTTCTAGTTTTGGAAGTTATATACATTTCTGCCCATATTTTTAAAATATAAAAAATAGTTTTTAAAACTGAATGAATGACACTATTGTTAGTGTTAATTTATATTTAGAAAATTAATGATACCAAGAAGAAATTGTATGTCTCCTAAAGAAACTCCAAACTTGAAGGCATACATTTTTTAAGATGAGGAGCAGATTATTTTCCTTAACAGATTTCTGGCCTCAGGACTGGTTACAGAGTATTCACTGTCTTGCAGTATTCCATAACCTTTGTGTTTTCTGATGCATGTTGGTGCTGCAGCTAATGTCATACCCCAGTCTCTGATCTAAGCATAAAAGTTTGTTTGCTCACAAGCACACACAGTCACAGGAACAATGAATCGTCTACAATGATTTAAATATTGAAGATAGATTCTGTTTTGCTCTAGTTTGTGTACATGTTAAGGTATTCCTTTGCATCACAGAGTACAGTGAATTGGGGGAGTCATATTATCTAGCTAATCTAGATCATAAAATATCCCTGGATCACTGATCTGATCAAGTACTCTGTTAAGTCTAATGGTAAGTGGTACAATCCACTCACTGCTGCACCTCTGTTTCAGCATCCAACATGCTTGTGCTTTGAGCAGTTTGCACTCTAGTTGAAACAGAAATTCTATAATTTGTTACTATTCTTAGTTAATGCAAACTTGCTATTCTCTATTTTTTAGAATAGTAGATATTGTTTATCAAGGTCAAATATTGATATGTAATATGGAGTACTTATTGCCATTACCATGCCTGTTCATGGAGACAAATTAATTACGTACTTTGAATGTGCAAGAACAGCTCAATACACTTTGTTTCCCTTTCAATGAGTACAATTCATATTCCACAAAATTTAAGTTCCACAGAAGGCCTTAAATTTCTGAAAACATAATCAATCAAGAAACAAAGAATCTATCATTTTTTAATGTATGTAAGTGATTACTTGATGAAAAAAATGATAATACACAAAATTGAAGAGAATGTGACAATAAAATAGGAGATCAGAATTGTACTAAAATGACATTTTGAAACTAAGCATGTTGCACCTTTGATACCCAGTGTCAAAAAGTATCCACCTCTCTATCTTTGTCATATCTGTCTTCTAACTTCACTTGCTCATATTATTCAGACACTGTCCTTTCAGGGTAGTGGAAAATACACTGCATTAATATTGCTGCGGGAATGACGATGCACCTAGCATCACTACCTGCTAACCATATTATTTTCTTTAGAAGAGGGTAGTGTTTAGTGCTTTTGGCAGTTATTGTTACAAAATCCTTCAAAATTAAAGTCTGTTCATAAAAATATTGATTTAATGTACTGTTGATAAATTGGCCATAGGGTTAGATAATTTTTGAGGGAGTTTTCGCACCTTGGATATCCCTCCCTGTTTCCAGAAATATGCCATTGCACCCTGCAGTTTCCCTTAACAATACACATCCAGGTTGTAACATATGAGAAGCACATAACATTTTACACTTTTTTACAGAATGCTTTGCACTGTCCTGCAAGAAAATGCTTATTTATTTATTCTACATGGTTATGATTATTATTCAAAATACTTCTTTTCTCTTATTTATTGGTAATCCCATGTTTTGAAAATAATTTGAATTTCAATGAGTGCTTACAAAAAAAAATTGATGCCTGGTTTAATTCACCTGCATGCTTATCAAATGGGTGAAATATTTTTGCAACCAGATCTGTTTCATTTGCATTTACTGCATAGTACTTAGATTAATTAATTAAACATGATGGTACACATAGTTGTACAAACATTGCATAGTTGAAAAAAAAATTCATTTTTGAACTTAGGTGTAAAAAAAATAATTTCGCAATGTATTTTCTTTTTCTCATTTCAATAGAAATGCAAGCAAATTCACTGTAGTTTATGTATCAATGTTATATCTATAATTTATTTTAAAGTAAAAATAATTGCAGAACTATTGTAAATGTGTGTATATTAGATTATATCCCTTAAAATGATCTTCCCCAATATATTGATTCATCATATCTAGAAGCATTGTTTATATTTATTGAAGACAATTCACTATTTTTTAATCATGCGAATGTTCTTATTTTTTATAGAACAATGGATTTGTATTAGTTATTAATAAATTATGTAATGTAATGTGTCAAATGAAGTGAATGATTTACTATAAGCATAAAATGTATTATGTAAATCAAATATGTAATGTTTGTATTACGCTGTGTGTCCCTAAAACATTTTTAACATGATACTTAATATATTTTAAGAAGTACCCAATAACTGCCAGTGTGTATGTTGCACTATCATGCAAGAACAGTTGGTATCAAATAGCACTCTTGTGCTCAGTTTTTAATTTTAATGTTTTGCAACAGAGCAATATACATACAATGTGTTTTCTTGTATGCTGTAGGTTCTATAATCAAAATATACTCTTTTTACTAATGCATGAAGATAAGATTTTTACATTTTAAAAGCATACGTTTAAAGATTGTCATATGATGATTCTTGAATTTTTTGCATGGGTCTATTTGCAAATCAAACTTATTTTTGTTAAAGTTTTTTTTGTCTTGTGTCAATATTTCTAATTAGGAACAAAAGGTTCATTTCACATCATATTCCAAGGGTCAAAATTTATTGTAATTAATTTTACATTTTTTGACTTTCAATATTAATAAGGAAAATACAAAATATTTAAACTATTTATAGCATGTTATCTGAAATTCAGAGAAGAGGATAATAAAATCTTAATTAAATTACATTCTTCTGAATACTTTTATTAACTGTTAATATGAAACTTATCTTGACCAGTATGAAAGTAACTGACATAAATAATTAGATTAATAAACTAACCTCCAAAATTTGAGTGCCATTCTTAGAATCTTTATTTTTGCTACAAGTATTAAACACCAAAAACCAGGAATTAATATTGTAACTTTAAAATGAATCATAAATATTTTTTGTTATTTGTTTTCATTTTGTCTTGTTTTTGCATCTGTTGCAGAATATTTGTAAATTATTTATGCAAGTAAACTTTATTGTGTAATAAATATCTTACACTTTAACTCATTTCTCAAATAACATGCTATTTTTACTGTGCATAATACAAAGTAAACATGAGTACTGGTTCACTAATTATATACAAATTGGCTTTACTTAAATAATTATTAAATTACCTTGGAATTATTGAATATATATACTATGTTTGTGTTGTAGTATATATATGTATATCTGAACATTTTAACACTTACTTATAACTAATTATTTCCATTTTTCTCTTGACATTTTCTCAGTAGAATGATTCACAATGAGGCTTTTGTTTGTTTAAAAAGTTGACAAATTAAATTATGTTGTTGAATTGACTATACAGTGTAGTGCTAAAAGTTTTGAGCTTTTCAAGTTATTTAATATTTTGTTATTTGGTAGTAGTTTGATTTTTATCAACTTTGTACTTTTTCATTTATACATTTTGCCTTAAATAAACAACAGATTTTTGCCTAAATAATTCTGCAGTAAATCACAAATCTGCTAAATGTCTATATTCCAATAAATATGTATAATATCACATTTTGCAATTATTCATTACTAGTAAAGGACAAGTTTATTGATATACAACAGCATTAGAAAGAGGGGACTAGCAAATTTATTTTGAAATGTTCAAAATATTTTGTACTGCACTGTATTTTTAGTATTTACTGCAAGTATTTTAAGAAAGCAAAAGTTATATGCACACAACCTAATTTTCTCATCCATACCTTGCAACCAATTCTATTATACATAACTCTTAAATTTTGGACTTTTATTTATCTGCTTATAATTTAAAAAAAAAAAAAAAAACATGAAGCAGCTACCTATTGCTGCATATAATTTTTTGATCTGTCAATGAATAATTTTAAGCAGGATTGGTTGTTAAAAGGGCACATGTGGGAATTTTAAAGAAATACTTTTTAATACACTTGAAAGTGATGTAGAAGAATTACTATGAACATAACAAAATGAGGGAGAATATTTCAATGTACATATAACTTTTACTTTCTTATTACATTTTTACTTTTTTGATCATTTTTACTTTATTATTACATTAATGATTGCAAAATTTGTTATGAATTGCTTCTGAAAATGCCTTGTGATGCCTGGCACACTGGCAAGCATTTATTCAAAACAAAACAATGGCCAACATTCGGAGCAGTTTTTTTTTAATTAAATTATAATATTCATGTTTGACTCTTTTTTCTCTCTCTCTTTTTCCCCAAAAAATTACTCTGCTCTGCTTTTGGCCTGTGTATATGGTTGTGCCCTTGGACTCAATTTGCATGCTGCTTCAAAATAAAAACTCCACGTAAGTATTTTTGTATCAAAATTAGTTACTTTAAAGACAACAATCAAAAAAAGAAAGAAAACGCAAACTATTCAAAAGAAAAGTATGAGATATATAGATTATGAATACGAGTCTACTAAATAAAATAATATAAATATAATAACTTTAGGGATAATTTATTATTTCTTATAAATATAAATTTTATTCTTGAGATAGTTAAGGGTTCAAAATCAACATTTCATTTGTTGTGAGTGTATACATAATTTTGCCAAACTATTATACAAATACATTCTTGAATATTAGTTAACAAAGTACATTTAGTATAATCAGTCGTATTTACTATTTACAAGTAGTTGCCTTCAGTCTCTTCCAGGTTTATCTTAAAGTTTAAATAAAATGTGTATTATATTTAAATTCATATTCAGCTTTATGAAAAAGTCATACATTATCTGTAACCATATTTCAGTTGTGTGTCATTCCTTCCAGTTATTCTAAATTATCTATAGTTCTGTGATGTGTTGTTTCTTCATACAATGTTTTCCTGTAGGCAATTCTCATTTTTTTGTTTTGTATATACTACTCCTAACTTTTATCTTACGCCTTCATTTCTGTCTGAAAAGTCATATTCAGTCTGTCATGAATCTCTAGTTTTTGAATTAAAATATTTTATTTCATGAATAGTTTGACTAAAATTATTATAGCATTTAGGATGAAATGTGATATTTGGGTCCTTAATTTACCAAAAAGATTATAATTATTATTTTTTGTTTCTTTTGTTCTTTTTGTTTTCAGCTTTGCTTTTGTGGTTCTTCAGTTGTTGGGGGCTGTGGCTGTCATTTTACCTCCATCCCTTGTTGTGGTTGTTTGCTTGCTGTGAGCCCATTGTCTGTGCATGAGCATGTGTCTCTTGTTTTCACAAATCCTCATTTATTTTGTTTTATCAATGCAATATGTTTTGTGATACTCTTTATTTGCTCTCATATTCACACTAATGCTCTTTTAGACTCTTATAGATATGGCCTAATCAGTGGATACTCATATACAGTCTGATATATAGTTAGACCTACATCTCCCTATCTCATCTGTCCAAAACAAAGTTAGAAACATGTAAAGATTTAAACTGATCGGGTGATTAAGCATGTATGAAAATCCCTTTTGGTTTCCATTAAATTTGTTCAATAAAAGTTTTTGATCAAAAGTTCAAATTGCTGTTAATGTGGCAAATTAGTTAATTAATGACAAATTTGTCAATATGTCAAATTATTTATCATTTCACATTCCACAAATACACTCATTACTAACGACAAAACTAAATTTGCACTCAAGTTGGTTCTAAAATTGTAATGGATTTGATGAATATTAAAAAAGGATATTGTGGTATGTGAATTATGTTCATTCAGAAAAATTTTATTCAATATTAGCTATTTAAAGAAAATTCAGAAATATTCCAGAACACACAGGTCTGGTTCATTTTTAACTTTGACTTTGGCAGATTTCTTCCAAAATCACTGTAGCACTCAAGATCAATTCTTCATTATTCCATTGTGAATGAATGTGGATGAGAAAATGATTTTGTAACTATACATCAAAGAATGTTTAATTCTTTTCCTCAGATCTTTATGTAGAATCAACATTAGTGTATGCCTTTAATTAGAAAACTTTCTGCAACTTTCAAATTCCCCTTATTGCAAATTCCATGGTAGAAGTAGCAAACTGTTTTAATAATTATATTCCTTTAGTTTTATATATTTTACAAGTAGCTTGGTGATATACATGAGCATAAATCTTACCTAGGCCTTTGAAAGACATAGGTTGATCATTTTAAAAAATAGTTACTTTCATTCCATAGGAAATATTTCTGCAGTAAAATACAGTTTGAAAAATGATTGTTGCAGATTAAAGTACCATGAAATAAATGTAAATTATTGCTGTGAAACTAGTCATGAGCATCATGAAATGTGGAAACTCTAAAGCATGCCATGAGCAATCACTGCATTTGAATAAGTCCCTTGTGTGATAAATACTTTCTGATTTTTACTTGGGGTTCAGTAGAAAAATATTTCATGCATTATACAATTTTATATTGCATTTCTTGTCTTTCTTTTTTCTTCCTTTCCTTGTTCAAACTGCATTTGATATTGTTTGTCAGTGCAGTGTCTTTCATCTTATGATCTATTTCTCTTTTGAGAACCATATGATTCCCCTTTCCACCTTACATGAACACTATTCTACTTGTAACTTTGTATGAAACATTACATTGCCTTGAAAACACTTCAAACATTCAAACATAATATTGATTAGTGAAAGACAAGTCACATAGTATTGAATAAAATGGACATAATCCTCAAAATGTACTTGCTTTCAGACCAATTAAATATAATTTGTTAATTTAATTTTCAAATGGAAGTGTGAATGAGTGGATAATATGAATTAAGCCTTTGTCAAGTTGATAGTACATTGTTCTTTTTGTCGTAATCCAGTGTTTCACAAGTATTTTCCTTCCATATCCATTTAGGTTGTTGAACTCTTTTCGTTCCTGTGTTTAGTCATCTTAGTGTGTGTGTGAGTGAGTAGAAAATTTAGTCATGATATTTTGTGTGTTGTGGTGTATGTAGAGAAATTAAAATAACTTGTAAATCCTTTCTAGATTTTCCTGTGTTGTCCAGAATGTACGCCATGTTATTGAAAAATGTTCATCAATGTTACTCGTGCGATCACATGTTTTACTTTTTACATTCTACACATCTGATTTATAGTTGCAGGTTATTATGGTAGAATATAATAGATTAGTTCTTGTATAAATTATACTTTCAGAGAGGAGAATTGATTAGAGTATACAGAATGGTATTCTCTGATAGAAAGAAAAATGTTATTAATGTTTTTTTCGAAATATGGAAATGATTGTCAAATATTTCTGCAGTTCTTGAATTGTATACTTTTAATAATGTTGAAACATAATTATTTATATACTTACTATAATTTTAATTTCTTTGCAGAATGTTAACATACTTACTCTTTCTTTTCTCTCTCTGGGAGATTTTAAAGCTTAAAGTCAAGTGATATTTTCAGTAAAAACAAGCACTGCATGTGCTCTTGGTAATGTTTTCTTGAAAACATTTCATACAGCAAAGTAATTTTTCAAACAAACAATTTCTTCTGTTTAATAATACAGGTTCTAAATAAATGAGACTACCTCTGTGTAGCTCTCATATTGTTTTCTAAAGAATGTGAAATGTAATTGATTTCATTTCCAGAATTAAAAAATGTTATTTCCTGTCTCCTTTTGGAAAATTTGTCAAAATGGTTCGAAAATCTGTAGCGTTGAGAAATATGATATGGAAGATATTCTGCAATGTATTTTGAGAATATGAGCACATGAAATGCATATTATTATTGTTATTGTTTTTATAATTATAATTATTATTATTGTTATTGGTATTATTATTATCATTATCATTATTATTATTATTATTATTATTATTATTATTATTATTATTATTATTTTATTTATAATATTTCAATAGCTGTGAAAAGAAATGTGTAGATAAGTAGCATTCTTTAGTTAATAATCCTTAGAAAAAAATGTAATATAGTCACTACTTACGGGGAGCACCAAATGTTATTAATCCATTTTAATATTCTCCAATCATAAATAAAATTATTATTCCTCTTGAATTCATGTATAATTTATAGAACTTCATGAATTCATTCTTATGACTTTTTGATGGTAAAAAAGAAACTAATTGAAGGAAGAAAAAAAAAGGAAAAAAAGAAAAGAAAAGAAAAAAAAAACAACAGAAGCAATAAAACTGAAGATTTTATTTGCAATTTTTGCTCTGGTGATTTGGACTCTCCATATTGCAATTACAGTTAAATGTTTAATGCCAGCCATAGTTTCCAAATAGATAACATTTCAGGTTTGTTAAATGGTCTGCTCTTCTGTTTGACAGTACATAGTTTGAACATAAGTCATCAAAAGGGCAGCCATGAGGTGACAATGAAGAAATCTTACAACAGTTGCATTTGTTTTAACAGGAAAACAAGCTAGGAGATATTTGCTTCTCCCTCCGTTATGTTCCAACTGCTGGAAAATTGACGGTGGTCATCTTAGAAGCAAAGAATTTGAAGAAGATGGATGTTGGTGGTCTGTCAGGTACTAGTGTACACATAATTATTTATCATTATGAGATGTGTTTCTTAATCCTGTCTGCATCTTCCCTTCCAATTTAGCACTGATAATTAAGTGCATTTTTAGACTGTGATCTCATTGTTTGTATATATGAAAGATCTAATGGAAGTGTTGTAAGTTATTTACACATTACTTGATCTATAACGAACATATTCGAAATTCATTAATTTTAAATGTAGCTTCATTAAAATTCTTACAGAACCATTAATTGTTTACTATCACAATTACATCTACTGTCCTCTAGATCCATATGTGAAGATTGCTCTGATGCAGAATGGTAAGAGGATAAAGAAGAAGAAGACCAGCATCAAAAAGTGCACTCTAAACCCATACTACAATGAATCATTCACTTTTGAGGTTCCATTTGAGCAGATCCAGGTAGGTTTTTGTGTGTGTGGGGGGGGGAAATCCCCATGCCATAATTAATTTTGAGTGTGTATAAGATATTTACTGATGCTTGGGAAAAGAAAAGAAAAAAAGATTTAAAAATTTTGAAATTGCAGTTATGAAGTAACTGAAATAGTTCTGGATCTCTTTGCTTACAGAAAGTCAATTTGATGGTAACTGTTGTGGATTATGATCGTATTGGCACATCAGAGCCTATCGGAAAGGTTGTATTAGGCTACAATGCAAGTGGAACAGAGCTTCGCCATTGGTCAGACATGTTGGCCTCTCCACGCCGACCAATTGCTCAGTGGCATACGCTTAAAGACCCTGAAGACGATAAGAAAGACTAAGCCATGCATGACACAGAGAAATTAAAAAGGTAAGAAATTCCTTATGTGTTGCAGCAAAGACAGACATAAACTGACATAACTTCTATAATATCATGACACATTAAATTTAGTTATAATGTATTTTTCATTTTTCTGATAGTATCCTGTGTGTTTGTCATGATTTATTTTTCTTATTGCCTTTCTTCTACTAAACTTAACATCACCTTCCCATTACAGTCCACTTGCTCTTATCTCCCCCATCAATACTGTCAAGATACCTTTGTGTTGAAACTTTCATCACTTTTGCCTATATATTTGAGTTATGGAAGTTTGTACTAGTTTTCATAAATTTCCTTTTGTTCTCCATTGAGAATTTTATTCATGGTACTGAGCATTGATGTACCCACTCCATTGCTTAGTCAAATATACTTTTTTGGCTCGTTTCAGGGCTACCTAGTTATCTGTATCTCCAGCAAACTAAATGTCAGGATCACAAAACCAAAGGGAAGCTTTTCCCCAAATTCAGTATTTTACTTGTGCTATGGTAATTGTTATGAAACATTCCAGTCTGTGAAAAAAATATGTTGGAACAACTCTATTTGTGGATGGAAATCTAGGAAGTACATAATATGTTGATATCTTTATTCAATATTCTGTCATGTTTTTGGAAGTCTTGTAAAATTCCTATATAATGTGTTTAAAGATGATTGCTGTAAATCTTGTCAGAATATGTATATTTTTTAAGTGTATCAGCTGCTTGCATTCTTAATGTGTACAATGCTGAAACAGCTAACACTGAGGATGTAAATTACAAATTTGTTAGGAATATAGGAAGAGATAATGTTCTAAAATCTTCCATGAAAAGGATCCATGGTGTATAAAACTTATAGGCAGCCATAGTCAGTAAAAAGTTTATAAACACCTGCTTGGCTTCAGACACATGGAGTATATTTCCTTATGTTCAGTAAAATTTCTCTGCCTAAGGTCTCTGGTTCATGTAAGTGTGGAAATGATACTTAACAAATGTTGAGACCATACTGAAGTCCAAACATTCTAGATGCTGCCAATGGTCCTAAAATACAGATATTACCAAGTAATATAAATATTCTACACATACTGTACTCAAATTTGGTGTTTTCATATCGCATTCTCAGAAGTCCATTGTGATTAAAAAACAAAAGAGGGCACCAAAATCCGTATTGAGTAGGATTTAGCCTGGTAGATGAAGAGACATTGTTAGCATAAGACTTTCTTTTAAAAGTCATTGACAATAGACCATTAATACAACTGCATCAGCTAGTATTTTTGACACTGAGATTTTATTACTTTTAGGGCCTTTAAGGAAACATTTGAGAGATATGTTAGGGTTACTTTGGAAAGGATTTAGGTTATTTTGTCATACTATGTGAATTATTATGGAACATGGCTTATTCTTAAAAAGTGTTAATAAGAGTATGGTTGGTAATTTTGAGATTAAATGGAATAATGCTGTTTTAGATGAAAACTATCTGTGTATGATACAATGTTATCTACTTGTGCATACTCTGATTCAAGTCCTCCAGTTCCAGTCTCTTTTCTGAGTGTGCTTGTTGTCAGGGCCTGTACAAACATGATGTTAACCCTGCTTCAGAAGCTTACATGTCAGAAAATGAGGTAGATAAACTGTAGCTTTAACCTATCCCCCTTCAAAAGTAACCTACACTCTAGAGAAGATAAGCTAAATCAGACCTCACAGAGTGATGCTTATTCCCTTCCATTGTAAAGTATACTGCTATTGAGTTGTTATCTTGAAATCTTTTCCCCCAAAATAGACAATATTATCTAACTCAATCCTCAACAGTAAAGTGTAATGATCACATTAGAATTAAAACAAGTGGTTTTGATTTTGATAGTGCAAAAAAATAATATATATTTCCTCCCGTTGAGATTTAAGATTTGTTTCATTGTGATCTTCCCTCCTTTTTGATTGAATGTATAGTATTAATTTGTAAATAGAGTTGTTGTACAAATGTAATTTTGTTTTGTACTAAGAAAGAACGTTCCCCAATCTGGCCTTGTCTTAAAGCATATAGGCATGTTGCACCTCTATGAAGAGGTATGTGAAAAGTAAAAATTCGTAGATATATATTAGGTTCTCCATTTTGTCAGAATTTCACAGAGTTAGTTTTGGAAACAATGTTTTCAATGTTCCCAATATCCTACACTCACCTATGCCAAATATAAAAATTATATTTAAAAGCAAAAAAACTTTCTATAGGCAAATGATGTGTGTATGTATATATTATGTGTGTGTGTAAGTTTGAAGCATTGAAATTGGAGAGTGTACTTAGAGTAAAAAGGAGTCATGTCTATAATCTGTGTACCATATAAAGAGAGAGAAATGTCTAGCCCATATAAATATATTATATATATATATAAAAATATATATACATAAACCTCATTAAAACACTGTTGTTGACTATTATACCATAACTTATATACTCAGATACTCTACCAATTGAAAAATGTTGGCCGCCATGGCTTCTCCTAAAACACACTGTTTTTTTGTAACAACTGTGTAATTCTGCATTAAAGGGAATATGCATAATAAAGTTCAACGGGGAAACATATTCCAATGTGAAAAAAATTAAATTTCTGACCAAGGTATGGAACAAAGCTGAGGAACAAGATAAAATGATTGTTATTGTAAAATAAACTGAAACAAATCACGTGGTAGGGATAGAAATATAACCCTGCAGTTTCCAAATGCAGGAAGGCACTAAATGAAGAAAAATGTACTAAATGTTAACAGTTACAGTTATCCAGTGACAGCTGTTATATTCATGTGGCATCTCTATCACTCTTGATGAAGAAGTAGATGAAATAAACCATATCACTGTTTATGATATGCAATGATGTACATTCATTGTATTTTAGAAACAGAGTTTGGAACCTAAAAAGAAATCTAATATACAGCCTCCACTTCCCTTTATTTATGTTGTGTTTCATTGCTAGCAGCGTCATAATGCTTTTACGTAAATACAATATTTTGAACAATCAGGCAATCAAATAACAGTTGCATGTTGGTGTTGACATGCAACTTCAAATGATGTACTATTATATTTCATTCTCAGCAGTCTATGAAATCCATAAAAGTATTTCAAGCAAATGACATGCTATTATTGAGTGGTTACATGTTTTGTCTGCCAGCTTTCTTATGTATGACTCAAGTTGTTCTTTTGTTTAATTATTTTATGGTGATCTCCATGTGATAAATCATCAAATGTCGTTGTATTGAGCACTCTTATCTTGCATTTAACCCATTTGATAACAGTTAAATAATCCTTTCATTTTAAAGCCATATTTTATACAGAAATGCAGTTCAAACTCCCTAACACAATTTTCCTATGACTCCCTTCCTCTGTAAACTGTATTTTGAAATATGGAAGCTACTACTTTCTTTATTTGACATATGAAAATTTGGTAAAGTTGTCAAACATTATTTTTATCTACTTTGTTAGACTTGTAATAGTAATTCTTTGCATTTTGTTATGAATGTTTTATAAAATTATATGAAAATGAGATGCTGAATTTGTTTATTTAGGAGAATAGTTTTCAAAGTTCATCCAACAGGTGCCCATATCAGCTGAACCAGCAAAATTCTTGGTCTGCTTTTCACAAATGCAGATATGCTCAGTACATGTTATTTCAAAGCAGCAATGTGCAGGACTTTTTCCCAAAACAAAACATAAAACTGAAAAAATTGACTCAGAAAGTATTCACAATGGATTCTAGAATATTTTCTAGCATTCAATGAAAACTTGACTGACACAATGACTTCACCAAGGAAATTATTGCTAGGCTTAAGTATTCAGTTTTGAAAATGTATTGTTAATAGAAGGTAGAAATTGATCAATTAGTTGTTATTTATAATTAAAAGTATTAATTTTCAAGAAATTGTTGAACTATTTTCAAAGAACTAGTATTTATAAAGATAGTCCTGTGAAACTTTGTATATTAGTCTTAAAACAATAATTCATATTAATTTAAATTAATAACATGATTCTGAAGTATCTTCAACAAATTAAATAATTTCAAATCTAGTACACAATCGTAAATCTGGCACTGGGTCCATAGCTGGAGATGTAAGTGAACTCATGGTGAGATTTTATCTCATTTCATTAATGAATGGTCAGTTCATACTTTTAAATTTGTTTATGGGTCTAGTTATTTTTAAAAATATGTTTCCTTCATTTATTCTTGGGTAAATTACTGAAATTTTATATGGCTTTGTTACAAAAAAGATTATTTTCACTTCAGTCTAATTTACCATTAGTAAACAAACCTAATTCTCTGGAAAGTAAACAAAATGGACGACAATTACCAAAACAAACAAATAAGCAATCTTTGTAAAACTCATTCAATCTTTGTAAAACTCATTCAATTTTTGTAAAACTAAATGTAATGTTTTAGTAATCAAGTTATCACAATCTTCACAATATGTATGGACAGTCAAGAGGTAACATTCACATGTAATATGAAGCTAGTCTTCTCTTTAATAATGCGAGGATGCAATTTTTTTGCACTGCAAATACTAACAATGCACCTCAACCAATAAGCAATTGATGCAGGTTGATGAAAAAAATAATGAACATGGAGTACCTGGAAGTATGGGTATATGTGCTTAATTATTGTGCAGTATAACAGCATGAATGCAGGGGCTAATCCAGAGACTAGTTTTGAGAGGGAAAATTTTTTTTATTCAAAATGTTTTGGTCGAGTGTGTCATTACTGATTGTGTAGAATGATGCTGACTAAACTCAGCTCATATTGCAATACAATATTATTCGTTTTAAGGTTTATAGGAAAATATTTGTGCTTGAAAGTTTTGTGACAAGTTAAAATTAATAGTTACTGAAAAATTTTGGGAGGGGAAATTTCCCTCATTTCCCTCCCTATGGTCTTATGAATGTGAGGAGATGGATTCCTTCTCTATGCACCCAGTCTCAGACTAAAAGAGATGCCAGGAAATTTTTTTCTGGGAGACCTTTCCATATTTTTACATGCATATTCTTTATGATGTTTCTCTTTTCACACACGTTTTCAAAATTAAACATTTCTTTAAAGCAAAGAAAATAACCACTATAATATTTTTCTGTTCATCCATATACATTATATCTGTCACACAACCCTTGCTTCACATTCTATCTGAAATTCTTAACTTACTACTAACACTGTCTGATTATGATTGTTACTTCAGTCTAAGAACAAAAAAACAAACAGTAAGACTACAAATATTCCTACTACACATGCCAGTATTAATATCTAAATGTGACACTTTAAATCTTTTATTAGTGCTTCTGAGCCTAGTCTATTTCCATAAATTTCATGAGGTGAGTGTTCTGGCATATTCTGAAAAGTTACAAAATTGTATTATTTTCTTTGAGAAAACTTTCAATTCATGATATTCTTCTGATATTAGAATAGTGCATTTCTTTTCTTTTTTTTTCATAGCTATGACTGTCTTCTTCAACTTTAAATAAATGCTTTAAATGACAGAAACTGTACTTCTATAAGGTATAGCCATTATTCAATGAAACAAATTTACTGTCTAATTGAAAGTTAGTAAATTTTCTTGATCAAATATTTGCTTTACACAGTCTTGGATAATGTAAAATGGAGTTCAGCAGTCATTATATGGCAATCTATTTTTTGCATACCATAACTATTGTACTGAAAACTTTTCTTAGGTATAAATGGTAACTGGAATTTAGGTTCAATGAGGTAATGATTATTTATTTAAAACAATGTAAAAAAACTGCTTATGAAAAATGTTCTAAGAGGTACCTAAATGATTAACATCATATCCTGTTTTTATTGTGTCTAATAATTATATTTTTTGTTCAGTAATCATTTACCGTGAAGCAACGACTGACATCTCAAACGTGGTATGTATGTTGCATACTAATGAAAATCTGCTTAAATGGGGAAAGTAAATGTAAAATACAGTTTCTGTTGTGTTTTTTTCTTTCTTTTTTTTTTCTTCTGTCTTTTTTTCCAGATTAACTTATAATTATTTTTCTTTCTTCTTTAAGATGTTCGAATGTGATTTTAAATTATTTTCTTAACAGAAAGATAATAATTAACCCCCAAACAAGAAAACATTTTTTAAATACATCTTGAAGAAAAATTTTCTTTACAAATTCATAGTGTGTTTCAAATGGAAGTAATTATTTTACAAAAATGGTGCTTAATATTCTACACGATTATAGATATGAATCCAAGACAAGAGGGTATTAAATAAAATGAAGTGTGAATACATGTAGTTTCACATAAATAGAGAAATGCTATTATATATATATATTTCAGTTAATAAATATATTTTAAAATAATAATACACTATTTTGTAATGCATAAATACCAGGGCTTGTTGGTTGTAATTGAACATCTATTTTCAAAAATTGACACAAACCAAATTGATTTCACACCTATGCAACCAGTTTCAGGTTTGATTGCTGATTTTCAACTCAAGATTATTATTGTTGCCTCAAATGTTTTTAAACATTTAGGAAAGCGCACATATTCAGAATCTACATTTGATATAGGGTCTGATTATGTTGAGACAACTAACAATGGTAATTGTAATATTTTTTCAGGTTCTGCTGGTATTACTAACATGGTTTTTGTTTCAAAATTTTGACAGAAAACTGAAGTTTCATGTCAGATACTTAATTTCTGTGAAATTATGCATTTTGTGATGCAATAGATATAAGAATGGTATCAAACAAGTTCTGAAGTCTAGATTTTATTCAGTTATTGTAAACTCTAGATAGTTTTCAAATAAAGTATTTTACATGTAAAAAACATAACATTAACCACTGATGGAATTGTTTGATAAATTCTGAAGATATTCAGATACCGGACATTTTTAACTAGACTAACTATAATGTAACAGTGACATTTAAACATACTATTTTTACATTCCAAATACTAATCAACTTTTTCAGAGAATCATCTTAGTGTCAGTGAAAAAATAAGAGAAAAGAAAACTCTAAATATAAAATTAAATAGGGCTATTTATACTCGCAGCAATTGACTGTCTGCTGATTTCAAGATCATTTTCATTAGTAGGAAAAACATATTTTCACCTTCGTTTTCAATGTAGGTAGTTTGACTTTTTTATGATTTTTTTTTCTACATTTATGATGTAGAATTATTTTCATTATAAGCCAGTTTTGGATTATAAGATAAAATGATCATCAAATATGATTTTGTAATTTCACCTACATGCAGAATTAACTAGCTATACTGGTGATTCCTGTACTAGATGGAAGGAACAACAAGAATTATGGAGGTAAGGCAAAAAAACTACATTGTGGCATTACAAAGAGTAAACATTTTACTTATATAGTTCAACAACTGGAAAGATTCTGGCATATGTTTAAGGCTGGGGGAGTGAGCCTTGGAGCGGTAAGAGCTATTATGGAACCAAGCTCCTTCAAAATCTACTCTACCCATGGTGAATTTTTTCTGTAGGGAAATAACTTGCTAGATGCCCTACTACCTTAGCAATTGCCAGCATTACATATGGTTATTTGAGTATCATTCTAGAACTGATTGAGTATGATGATTTATACTCGTACATGTCATAAATATTTTTATAATTTATTGGGTGTTCTTCAAATAATATAAATAAATGTAGATTCAAAGAATATTATGGTAATACCTACACACATAAAAACTGTATTATGTGGAGTAATTATTTTTTGGTTCAAGTATTAATTATCCAATGATATTCAGCCATTAAAAGTTGCCATTGTTCGGGTCAGTGACAACAGTCTCAACTGCTGAAGCATCTCAATGTCTCAATGAATTTATACAACAAACCCAAGTTACCCAATGTATTAGAAGACAAATTAATCATGTCAACCCTGCCATACAGACATAACACTGCGCAGCCCTATAGTAAAATTAACCAGAAAACAGGAAAATTTACTTACCATAATCTTTGTTTTTAATCTCTTTCACTCCTATCAATATTAAATGTGTTTATTTCTTTTAGCCATATTCTCTTACATGGAAGCTCTCCACAAACTGTGACTTCAACACTACATCATTTCACCTCCTTTTACAATCCCAAAGTTGATGAAAACACCCTCATTATTCAGTTGCTAAATAATATGTTGCATTGTCAGTAAAAATACATCAAACTATACTGATGAAAGGAAAGAGAGAGAAGGGGAAAAAGGAAGTTAAAGAAACAAAACAAAATGGAGATTGAAATCTATTAGCTTTCATCTTAAACTTGTTTTGGAAATGTTTCAATAAACATTAGCTCAATAATAAATTTTTGCTGAGATTTCTATTTAGGAGGGATATTTTAGAATATATTGAAGCCCTTAAGCAAGCATTTATAACGATACTTATAAATATATTTTTTAAAGAACACACAATTTTTGTTCCAACTACTACTTGTTTAAACACAAAGTTGGTTTTACAGTATGTAGTATATCTGTTCCTTCATCATGCATATGTGTCACATATCATAAGAAAATAAGGAGACCATACTTTTAAAACCTAAAAACTGAATGTTATCTCAGCGATAAAAGAAGATTTCAAACACTATTGTTATAAATTCTTAAGTTTGGATATTAGTGATAAGCAAATAAACAAATAAATGAATAAATAAACAAATAAATAAATATGTGTAACTTATAACATGTTATAGTATTCAATTGATGCCAACAAAAAATCCTATAGAATTATTACTGCATTTCAGTATTTCACAAGTTCCAATCACAAATGTCTTCTACGAATGTCAAAACTCTAATGAATTTCATTCAATTGTATTTGTACTCTTCAGTATTGTTGGGGTTGGCTGAATTCATATGAAACAGAGTGATTACCAGCGTTTATATTTGATAAGGAAAATGTTTCTCTAAAAAAACAAACAAAAGTTGGAGAAACACAATGTCAGAAAAGAAATTGGTGTTGGCACTTTATGCCAATGCCATCATTGTCACAAAAACGGGACACTTTGGCATTTCGTTTTCCTTTCCAAAAAAATATGGGGTAGGGACTCATAAATAGTGACTGTTTTGGCTAATACAAGATTTCTGGTCTCTTTCTTATTCAATTGAAAGCATTAGATCCAATATGTTTTGTTATAATCCATTATATTGTGTTGAAATGTTGATACTTTCTTCACATCTTCAGCTGTAATATATTAAGAGCTGTAATATATTACAGCTATTAATCAGAATAACCAAACTGTCACAGACCATAAACAGAGTCATGGCCCTAGTGGTTCTCAAACTGTGTTGGAGTGCCCAAAGGTACAATTTTTATTTTCCTGTTGTGAAATATTGAACACATTTTGGACATGTCACAGCATGCAAAAAGTGTCCCTCATGTTTGCCAAATTGTAGAATTCTAGTGCTAGGATTAGGTTTATTTTGGTGATATCTCAGGACGTAGGCAGCTACAAATTTCTATTACATCCAATAAGGTTTTGGGTGTCTAATTTTACCTTTTCCCCCAGTATGCAAATAATGTATTAAACAAGTATGACAAATTGAAATCTGTGTTTGTTGATTATTTATCAAAGTTGAGTAGTAGGTTTCTCTCCTTTTTTTATATGAAAATTTTAATGAGTTCCAGCAGATTGATTATCCCTTTAACTCAGTGATTCTACCTACACCAAATTCAGTGGAGCACAAGCAACTTATTTATATTTCATCAGATTTCACATTAAAATCAAAACTAGTTTCTTTGACACTTTTTCAAGTTTTGGTGAAAAAAAGAGTATCCAGAAATAAGAATGAGTCTTCAAATTATATTGTAGTTCTGTTTGCAACATCATGCTTACCAAAGAAAGAATTTTCAGCATGCGCAGTTATTAATACTAAATACAGATCCAAAGTAAAGGTAAAAAAGATGTTTCATCTTCCAATGAAGAGCAAAGGTTTAAACACTTAATGAAAAATAATCAAGCACATCCCTCTAATTCTATAACAATCATAAACATTTTGTTTCTTTATTTATAAGTATTCATTATGTTTTGTATGCGATTGTATTCTCGTATAGCTTTTTATAGGCTACGATTCCTTTTATAATAGTGTACATGTAATATATGTAATGCAATTGTAATTGTAATTGCTGGACATGTAGGTGAAGCATACCAATTCCTAACTTAAACCTGATTAAATTGTTCTGAAGATTGTACCTTATTTTAACAACTACAGTAATATATCTGTAGAATAGTATATTTCAGTAATACAGTATATTTCTGTAGAATTCAAAGGGAGCCACAACCAGAAAAGTTGAGAACCACTGCCATAAACTATAGGCACACGCCAAATAATTCTAGATTAATCACGATGCACAACATCAAGTCTATTGTTGAAACAGGCAATAGATTACATAGAGACAATTATTTCAACTTCTTACCTTGTTTTGGGGGAAATGAAATAGTACCTACATTATATCAGTCAAAAAGTAGAAATATCTTCAACAGAAACATAGGTTCAGTCACGGGCTCCCAGAGGAATTATGGTCTTTGGTCTTGGGACAAAAGTAGATAAAATATCATTTTTTCTGACATAAACTTTCCCATTATATTGTGCGCCAGGGAAGTTTCGGCATTGGGCTGAGTCAGGCAAGTGGCAATGATGTTAGCAAATAGATAGATGGCAAACAAGTGAAGGGGACAGCACTGCCAGCATCAGTTATCATTGTGGTGAGGTCTGCATTTACATTTTCATTTGTTACATGCTGCTACCAACATAATTTTTGTTGCAAGGAGCAAGGTGCTACTGTGGAGAGATTTTCCTGGATTGCTGTAGTAATGTTTGACACTCTATATTAGCTGGGACAATCACTTACTTTAAGTCTGTTGATTGTTTTTTATTAAGAAAAAACAAAACAATAAAATTTCCCATCTTTGTACCAGTGACTTACTGACAAAATGCCATTAACAATATTTAATTTATCAAAACAAACTCCTTTGACTTTTTTATCAGCTTGATGAAAAATTAAATGAAAACTAACATCAGACAATAGTTCTGTTTGTATTAGAATACATGTGCCACAACATAAGATTAAGTTTAAGAAAGAACAGTAAGCAATTGATGTGTAGCTGATTCAACATTCAGCCTGCACCACTGTATTCTCACTATGATAAAAGGATGGTTACTAATTAATTGCAATTGTACTGTTTTATATGAATGCTGTCAACCGAACAATATTGAAATCAACAAACGTAGTGCCCCAATTGAAGGAACTTTATTACAGTTGTGAATCAGATTTTTAAAAATATTGTGTTCTGAACTTTTGAAATGCTCAAATACAGGTTACTTTTGTAAACAGCCAGTGTTATAATGCATGAAAATTATGTCACCTCTGAATTTTTTCATTTATTTCTTACATATTAGTTTTCAAACCTAAGAATTTATGACAAATTATTGTTTAGTATCTTCTCTTGCTCTCCGCCCCTTCCTCTGCCTTATTTTTTGTAAAGAGAAAGATTACAATAGTCCACAATGGGGTGTGTGTAAAAATATGGTCACTTCACAACTAATAAAATGACATCTGTTTGTCCATCTACTCTTTGGATAATAAAAGGTAATCTCTGATGATAGAAATTTTCTCAACCTTATCAAACTGTTTTTTTTTTTTTTTTTAATACTTTTTTAGTAGACTCCTCTATGCTGGGGGTTGGTCATTGACGCCCCCTCCAGTGGGCTCCATGCAACTTTTAATAGCATAATAATTATACATATTTACCTAAATATAAGTCAATTCTTAACATAAGATCCCCTAATTTTGAAGAGACCTCTTAAAACTTTTTAAAATTTTAAATTAATTCTTACTATTTAGTCAAAATAAAATTGCAAATTATCATATTGACTAGAACACTATCTCGTTGATTGCAATGTTTTTAGACCTCTCTGAATTTGCGCTCTTAGTCTTTAATTTGATGCTACTTAAGTATATTTTCTTCTGCCACCGGATTTTCTTCCTGTCCCGCTGTTCGCCCTTTAACGGTTATTTCACTTTCTTTTCCTAAATCTCCTTGAAATTCGCAACATTTAATGTTCGTATGATTGTGAAGTGTGAACTCACAACTCCGATTTGCTGGTATCATGAGAGATAGCAGCAAAATTCCAAGTTTGGGAAATTTTTGGAGAAAAAAAATTAAAAAATCGCCTTTTGTGTGGTTAAACTTTAATGCGTATTAGTACTTGTATCAACATCTCTTGCGAAACGCTGATACGCACGCGCCGGGCGTCGATCGTGTAAAAAAAATCTCCCCAGCGGGTTTTCGATCGTGTAAAAAATCTCGGCAATTTTTTTATTTTTTTTATTTTTACGTTGCTTTTCTATTGATAGCTTTCAATGCCATTCGTTGATTCTCTGTTTACCGGTCCATTAAACAATATTGGTCTGAATCGCCCGGCAAATTCGTGAGAATGGTAAGAATGCATCCGCGATTATAATTGGGTATTATACGAGTAGATACGCCGGATATTTTGTCTTCGCAGCTTGTTTGGTAAAAATTTACGTGTTTTGCAACAAGGAATGACAATGTAAAAACAAATACTAACCGACTAAGCTTAATCTGAATATAAGACCACGTATTGTGTCGAATGCGATACTGTTTAGGGAAAAAAAAAAAAACATTCGGGTAAACGCATAATTTATACATTTTTTTCCGATTGTTAACTGCCGTTTGATGCGATTGCCCATGATTGATTAAACCCATCATAGGATCCACCTTTCAACCATTAATGATGCGAAATTGATTTATTGAAATGGAAACAAAAACCAAGTGAATCAAAGTATAAAACGCGTAGCATTCAAAAGTAATAATTTGCTGCTTCATCAAAATAAATTGTACCTCTTCAAAGCAAGCTTTAGGTCGAGCTTAGATGCAAATGTTTTGACATTTCACTAAAGTGTAAAACAAATTTTAAGTAAAATTATGAATCGTGCGTTTTGTCAATGTAATTTGAGATTCTTCTTTAATCGATACCTTATAAACGTAATATTTGGTACTCCTATATGTTACGGACGTCATTCGTGGTAATTTTTCTTGAATTATTCTGCCATCTATTCTGGGGTAATGGAGCCATATAGGTATTCTGCGGGTACCCGAATGTTACTGGTATGCAGCTAATTAATATAGCATAATTAATCCATGCAACAATTTTCCACATTTCGATAAAGCAAACCAGCTTTAAGCAGACAAGTGTATCTAAAGGTTTTATATAAAAGTTTGCAAATTTAGAAGTAGAGTAAAACTTTCCCTCTAGTTTCACCAAGTTAGGCATCAAAATAAATTTCCAACAACTTGTTCACTGGCTGCAATAATGACAAAAAAAAAAAAAAAGTTGCGATAAAGTTTCAGCGTAAGATGGTCATGTAATGCTAAAACATCCACGTGAAATAACAGATGCGTTAAGGTGTATATACAATGAGTTATTCAAATGCTAGTTATATCGATCTATATAAAATGTTAAATAACCACAGTAACATTTTCACATCTTTTAAATTCAGAGAACCTTCCTTCCAACAAAAATCCATGAAAGTAATAATTTAAGACGCGTGCCTTGAGGAGGAAAGTGCAAGCATTTTTAGTATTTATTTTATGCAAAGGAAGAAAACGCGTATGACAAGGGGTGAAAAACCTTACTCGGGGTGTATGGAGGGGAATAGTCCCCTCAAGTATAGTCCATTTTGTTCAGGATTTTATACCAAAAACAATTTCAGAAGAAAAGAGTAAAATATTCTGCATTCAAAAAATAGGTGAGGTAACTGGTGAGAAGCAGATTTGAATAAACCGAGAATCAAATTAAAGTTGTATTAACAAGTCTTGTACAGTGGACTAGCAATTACACAATGAATTTAAAACAAAAAAATGATAAAACGGTAAAAATAAAGGAACCGATTTTCTGCCCAGTTCATAACATTTACCGGCACAGGAAATTTAGAATTAGAGCCCTTGTACCAGCTTGAGGCAGATAAACATGGTTCCCAAGGAAAGCTGTTGTACACACCTGGAACAGAAGTGAAGGTTACTCTTACAGCTTTCTAAATCGTGTCAAAATGTATTATATATTATACTTACGTTATCCGGAGGCACGCAAGGCCGCGGAAGAAACCCTGTCGCCATCAGTTCCCTGCAAGCGTACCAGCCTCCGTAAGCTATCGGGACTGCGCACACACCAGCCCAAGGCGTCGCGAAGGCGCTGGCCTGCGTTGCCTGCTCGAGCGCAGCCGTGACGCCGGGAGGCGGCGCATCCTGGACGCGACCGCACGTGAAGGCTAGGCCTAACGAAGACGTACTGGCAACGCGTTGTAGGAGCAAGCGTGCACAGCAGCCTCCGGGCGACGGCGAGCGGGGCCTTCAGAGGTCTTCCGATCAAGGAGCGTTTGAAGAGGTGACGGGAAACTGCGCTTGTTCGTACCAATCTGCAGACACGTGGATTTGGGGATCTCCCGGAGCCGATGGCGTTGCGATCCACGGTTTGCGGAAGCAGGGTAGGTGGTACGAGGTTGGTTGCATCAGCTGGCGTGGCTGCCCTTACAGCAAGTTGTTCCGCAACAGATGGCATGTTGAATCTGCACAGCTAGTCGGGGTCAAAATGTTAATTTATTGGCAAGATTGAGTGGTAGTTTGAACAGTATAGTTTTTGCTCTTAGCTTAAGCCACAGACCTTGCATTTAAATATCTAAGGGACGAAACAAAATTCGTTAATAAAAGAACAACACTTAAAACTTCGTAACTGTAGGCCATATTTAGTGAGTAAAGTAAATTTCATTCAATGGAGTGGGCACCACCAAATACCAACGGTGATGTCTTTGGCGTTGAAACAGCTCTAACAAACTTCGTTTTTGGGAAAGTAACCCCCCCGTCATTCACCCGAGGTAAATACTCGATATGTTTAGTCACCTCGCAACAGTCGCAGGCGTCTACGCCCAGTCGTACTTACGAAAGTATCCAACCTCAACCGCGCTGGTTTCTGTAGTTCAGGCCAGACTGAAAGAGCGGATGCCGGGATTCTGTTTTTAAAAGAACTGGATCGCTGGCTGCCCATAGGAGACTCGCTAATACCTGCAGCCATTAGCCAATAGGAGCTTCGTATTTATTTTTGCTTAGAGATATTCATCATGACACATTCTTTTTTTTTTCATTCAGACAATGATTTTCCTTTAAACCATGTGCTATTACTTTATCTACTGTCACAATATTGCATTACAATATAAGATAATTTGATAATTAAATATATAATTTACACAAACTAAATTTGACAGAGCAATGTAGATATACTACATGAGAGTATCTTTTTTTAAAGGCAGTGAAACGCGAGGCAGAACATATAGAGAACCAAAATAAAATAATAGGAAATAAATGTACAGTAGTCAAATTTATTTAGAAACAAATCCAAGAGTTGTGAGAAACCTCCAGAGCTCCTGAGAATGTTGCTATTTAAAAAATTTGCGCTATTTAAAAAATGAAAGTAAATAATATTCAAGTACTGATAACAAAACTAAGAGGGAGAGAAATAAAACACTGTAGGCTGTTCAACAAGCTACATCTTAATTTATTCGATCACTCCTGCTCCAGTGCCAGTGAAGTGTTGAACCGTTTTGAAGTGTTGATACGCTGTCACCTCCGTTCAGTAGCAGTTGACATTTGGCTGCGTTTACTTCAACGAAAGGAAGAAGCCTGGATTACACCAGTAACAGCTTGAGTAGTTCATTTGACATAGTTCTGATACAATTTTTGAATTTGTCATATTTCTTTGTTTTTACGGCATTTTAAAACATTTTAAGAGCAATTTGTTGATCATTTTTGGTGGTGTTTTAGGTAATCAAAATCCGCCCCCTAGTTATTAGTGTTATAGCATTTATTTTTATTTTAAAGACACTGGACGACATTTTTAAAGAAACTATATTTCTTTTTAAGAACAGAAATGTCTCGAGAAGAAAAGTTCATCAACACTACGTATGTTGGTATACACCAAAAAAATACAATGAGAAAAATGAAGTTGTCGAGAACGCGGTATATAACATTCGTATTCATGAACATTGCTGGGCTAATATTATATGGACGTGAGTGAAAGCTTGTGGTTTCTCCGATTATTACCAGGCGAATGCCGGAGCAGTATCCTAACTAACGGGCTATGGACCGCTTGCGATCTTTCCTTCATCTTCCTTGTCCTATTCTACCCCTTACAAACTTGCCGGGAGAGCGGTCGGGAGCTTAGAGCTTGTCCAGGCTGAGGTGGTGCCCCGCTTGGAGGAGATACCTGGTTGGGAGAAACCCCGCTAGCCAGAAGTAGGTTCACGCCGGACGCCATCCAGCGGAGTTAGATCACCGCCACATCTCGATGAAAACCATGTACTACACTTACGGGAATAAAGGCGTTAGCCTTGTAAGCGCCCATTCATCAATCAGTCGGATAGCACGCGCGAGGAGACTTTGGAAATGTGGGCTCTTCCATTTTAGACGCTTAATGGATATTCATAAAATGAGAAAATAAGCATTAAATTTTCGAAAATGACAGTATAAATTGCGATAAAAAACTTAGGAATAAATTGTATTTTTTTACGTCGTTTTATTTGCAGTTTCAATGACAGTTATTTTAATGTCACTTTTTCACATAATCTTAAACCCATCAGAAACTAATAGTATTTCTTACTACCGCTATTCGTATCAGAAAGATATTGTACGGAGTTTTACAATTACTGAATTTTGTTAAAATTTAATCAAATTAATGCTTGTTTGCTTGTTCGAAGTATAAGTTAACAAAAAATTACGTACGTGTGCAACAAACAATGAAGTTTCTTTCTCAATGTCAGATAAGAGCGCTTTTGTTGCTTTTAATATCTGGCATCCTAGAACTTTAAACTTACGCTCAGTGGGTCACTTGCAAATAAAGAGGGGGGGGGAGATGTTAATAGGAAGAATGACTGATCGAATTATGTGGTATCTCAGATCGAGGTAAGTATTATAAACGCAGAACTCGATAATATTTCTCGTAATAAACCCAGCCGAATATGCTGGATTGTATGAGACTATTGTAGGCAATAAGGAATTTTTAGTCTGTTTGCGATAATGTTCCGAGCACTTAACAGATTTGCCTCTCCTTGCAAAAATTCGACAATGAAATAAGCTTCTAAAAATTATATACTCGTGTCATTATAAAAATCTGAAAGTTAGATCATCAACGGGTGAATAGGCGATTTTAGGTTCTAGGTCTGAAATATGCATTTTTAGATTATAAATGCAGTTTCTTAATGTCATTAAGTCCTGAAAAATGTTCATATTGATGTACAGACATAGGAAAAAGTATTTGTACGACTTTATATTTAGTAATTTAGTATTTTATAAGTTGTAGTATTTCTTATAATGCGCAACAGAATGCTTTTAAAATGCACCCAATAGGAAGTCAGAAAGTTCTCCTTCAAAATATTCTCCTCAAAGAGGGTGGTGTAGAAATAATAACCGTTCAGAGACAGTGTAATGAAGAGAGTTTCATCTCCAGCGTGTATAAAGTATTCGCATATATCTATTAGTATTAATCTTTATATTACTGCGCTAAACTAGGAGTTAAGTCAGTGTCGAGAGAAGTGTAGTGTCTTTGAATCATTGTGAACTACTTTTAAGGGAAAATGGGGCGTAAAATGAGACAAATAGCAAATGAAGAGAGAATAATTATAATGCACAATGCTTGCAATGTTTATCGTTCTCTCAAATATCGAAAAATATTGGAAGACCAAGATCTACCATTCAGGGTATTATCGACAGGTATGGTAGTAGAAAATCGGTGAAAATTTGAAGAAATGTGGACATCCCGTTAAATTGAAAGAGCATGTGAAACGAGAAGTTCTCAGAAAAATTAGGATGCACTAGGATAGTGCAGCAAAAATTAATGTTGGACTGCAAACTGATTTTAATCTATATCAGTGCATCTACTGTTCAAAAATATTTGCATTGTAACGGGTATTATTGTGGAAATGCCTGGAGAAAACATTTATTAGTCTGGTAAAGAGGAGGAAGAGGGAAGAGTACGCAAACAATTAAGAGAATTGTTCAATAGAGTTGTAGAATAAAGTTTTATTTACTGATGAAAGTAAATTCACACCTTTTCAAGAACACGCCAAAAAAGTGTGGAGGGAAAAGAATTCAGGACTGTAAGAAAAAAATATGCTTCCTTTAGTCAAACCTGGTGGTGTTAGTGTGATGGTTTATGGCTGCATGAGTGCAGCTTGGGTAGGAAAATTAGAATTTATAGACGGTATTATGGATAATAAAAATTACATTAACATCTTTAAGAAGAATCCAGTGCCGAAAAATTGAGATTAACAAACGGTTATGTTTTCATGCAAGATAATGATCCAAAGCATACTGCCCAGTTTCTAGATTGTGGATATTGAATACTAACTAAAACACATGGTAACTCTTCCGCAGTCTCCGGTTATTAATCCAATTGAATAATAATTGAGTGTCCTTAAAAAGAAACTTTCTGAAAAAATATCACTTTAAAACAATCTCTAGAGGCTGCTTCTTTGGAAGATTGGCCCGGAGAACACCACCAAACTCGTCCAGTCAATGCCTAGGCGTTTGACCATCAAAAGGCAAAAGGACTTCCAACTAAATATTAAATAGCGCTTAAAAAGGTTAAAAGCAGAATGTACGAATACATATTACGCACTTCAGTTTTTATATTTTGGGATTTTATACCACTTTATGGTGTATTATGCTATCATACTTGTTTTTTTATTTTTTATCATAATTATTTTTATAAAAATGTAGTACACGCACCATGTACCATGTAATTCTATGTTATGTAAATGAATGTAATGAGCTAAAATACATTATTTTTTGTTCACTTACCCACTGTACGATTATTTTTCCCTATGACTGCATTTATTATTACTCTAACAGGATTTCAAGAGTCGCAAGCGGCGACCAGCGTGTGTTTGCACAGGCCCATGAACACTGCTCCTACCCTTGTGCTAGCCCGCTTTACATTTTCGCACGTTTGCTCGTCTTTTGTGGTTCAGATCAAACGTTTATAATCTAGCCTCTGTTTCTCTTTTTCTTTCCATATTAGATCGGGGGAAGACACATGAGATTACGCTCTTATCCCGCCACCGACTTTACATTTCTTGTGAGGTTTCCAGATCGATCCATGCAATTTAGGATTGAAATGTTTTCAAAACAAAAATAAAATGTGTTTAATGTGTGCCTTATGAATTTAGATTGTAATCTAAACAAAAGATTTATGCATGCAAATAATCCGTAAAGTAAGTTTAACCCGAAGAGCGCTATCTCATCCAGACCACCATTTAAATAAAGAAAAAAAGAAAAGAAAAACGTGTTATCCTTAAACTACTGTAACTACATATACATATCTATGTCTAATGGCTAAGTCCTGAAAAATTGTTATAATTAATTTCGAGCTTTTACGTCAAATCTGTGAACCAGGCATTTGCCTATAAATGTGATGATAAGTAGAGAAATGATTTTTATGTAATTACGTATTTTTGTCTTTCTATTTTCCTTTTTCAGAATCGTAACCTTGGTGAATTGTCGCCGTCGTAATACCAATATCCAATTTTTCGTTGCATATTGTTACATATTTAGTACTACATTACTTATTTTGTTATTTCGCGCTGCCGCGCTCGGGACAATTCTCCTGTGCGAATAGAGCTCGGCTAAACCCAGTGTCTGTCAATTACAAAACTTTATTTTTACACAAGTATTTCTTCACGTGCCTGCCTATGCCACGAAGAGCAAACAGTAGCGGCGTGCATACTTCTGGGGGTCATCTTTAGGTGGCTGTGATTCGAACTGGTGTGCGTTCTGCATGGAAATGGAAGCATTTTTGAATCATACCAACGACACATTTTATTTACACTCTGAAGGAGAATATCTACAAATGTCTAATGATACCACGAAAGAAGCAGTATGAGACGTTTCAAAAGTATTCTCTGAAAAATCGTGGCTTATCTACGAAAAAGAGTTCAAATGTTTCTGCGAATGGAGAAAT